GCCCTCCGCGAGAAGGCGGGCGCGCTTGCCCGGGGAAGCGGCCGCCGTGGCGTCGAGGGCAGCTGCTCGCCTGCGCCCGAAGCCTACCTCTGTCCGACGTGCTGCCCCAGGCTCCCGCGTGCTTCCCTTGTCGCGCCTCTCGGCCCTCCTCAGCGGCGCGATCTTCCCCTGCGCGACCTCATGTAGCTTGAGCACACGCATGTACCAACGACTGGCGGCAGAGCTCTCGTTGTCGCCCAGCCACGCGCGCAGCAACCTGCTGGAGGGCGCCTGGTCCACGAGCGCGCACTCCTCGACGGACTAGGAGCCGCGCCCACTCGGGGCAATGCACCTCCGAGAAACGGCGGAATCGCCTCTCCACGTTGCCCGTGCTCGTACTCCATACAAGGAAGAGCTCCACGAGGCGACGGCCGCTGGGGAGCTCGGGCCACTCCACCGCAGCGCGGCCCCAAGCCTGCCGCGCGGTGCCCCCGTCTCGATGATGCACCTCGGCACGCGGCAACATTCGCCGCAGCTGGAAGATTGCCTCCTGCTCGGGGAGGTCAACCGCCTGGCAGATGCGCTTCGAACAGGCCTCGGCTTCTGTTGCATGCTCTGTTGCAGACAGGGACAGGGGGGAAGGCAAGAGAAAGGCTGTAAAGGCGTGCAACCAAGAATGCTCTGGCCGATATAGCTTCATGTTCTCCTTCACATTGGCCACGATCCACTGCGCTCGTCGAAGAGCCGCGTGGACGGCTTCGCGGGCTCGGGGCTCCGTTCCCCAATCGCCGATGCCAACGGTCTGGGCGCCAGTGCCGCACGCGAGCCGCTTCGTGGCCTTCAGAAACTTGAGGGTGACGCCAGTAAACGCGCTGGGGATGCCCTGAATATTCCCCTGGACGAACAATGTGCCCAGCTTGGAGAGGAAAGCGGCGGCCCTGGATTGAACGCTGGCAGCGTCGGGGTTGCTTCTTGTCTCCGGTGGCGACCCAGGAGTAGTGCTCCGCGCTCAAGTCGGCCAGCAACCCCCCCAGGAGCAGGCGCGAACTGTTCTCGCCCCCGAGCCCTTCCAGAATCTGTCGGGCGAGAATGCGCCGATCTTTGTCCTTCCCCTGGGGCCCCACTCCGAGCGCCTCGAAAATGACATCCCAACGCCGACTTCCCCGTGCCAAGGGCCTCGCCCGACTGTTGAAACGCTGGGGGGCCCAGCCGGAGTTTTTGACGAACGCAACGCCGTCTTCCACCGGCTGCTGCTCCGAGTGTGTTGCGGAACACGGTGGAGGTAGTCAGGAACTTGGCCAGACTTGGCGGCTTCTTTCCTGTTACCAGCAGCTCGTCCGTGGTCGTTATTTCGCTGTCTCCTTTCATCGAATTGGCCAGAACCTTCTGGGGCGAGTGAGACTCGCCCCACGCGTGAAACGCCAGCCCAGGGAACGTAGCTGTTGAGGCCAGGGGTGCACTTAGATCCGCCACATCGCTGCACCATGCCCGAGTCTCCTGTCGCACATGCTCGTGCAAGTCCCCGTCCAGCTCCCCGCCTGCCGTCTGGCACGCGCGACGGACGCACTCCTCCAGCATGGGGGCCTCGCCGTCGCAGTCCACGCCCCGCGGGAACTCCCGCGCACCGATCACCCGATCCACGATCCAGGGCCCTCTGGGGGCCCAGCTGTTCCAGCCAGCCTGCCTTGAGACCGCAGCTTGGGAGGAAGTCCAAAGCCTTCGAGATCGACCGCAGCGCGGTGCCAATTTCGACCTGGCACGCGCGGTCGAGGCCGTCCGCAGCCAAACGAAAAAACAGCACCATGTTCGAGGATCCTCTGCGTGATGATCTTCTCGTGCTGAGCCATGGTGGTCACCAGCCTTCGGCGCTGCTGACTAGACTCCAAAACTTGGCGGTCGCCCCCAACGAACGCACCCCGCCACGCGTCGAAACTACTGAAGGAACTGGACGTCTCCAACGTTGCACGGGTGGCGACCACTGCGCGGCGACCAGGGCGCTGGTCGGCGGCGCGGACGACGGCGGGCGCAGGCGCCACGGCTGTTGCAGCTGCTGCAGCTGATGCAGCCGTCGTGGGGAACACAGACACGGGGAGACCCTGGTGCGCACCCTCCGCTCGAATCCGCTCTTTCCACGCCGCTTCTGCTGCCTGGTGCTCCTCGCACTGCGCATGGCGCACGAGGTTTTTCCTTGCGTTGGAAACTCGCGGACCCCTGGCCTAGGGTGGATATGCAACGAGCGCCCTTGAACGCCGAGCAGAACAAGCAGACTGCAAATCTACCACCTACGCAGCCTATCCAAGTTTCACTCTTCAGCGTTACTGGATTCGTCGCAGACATCGAGGCGCTCCACTTCTCCTCGTTCTTCCAAAATTCGCCAGCGCCGCAGGTGGAGACGTGCTTTGGGTAGTCGTGGCTGGCGGCGCGCTCCTCCAGGGTCATGGACACAACGAAGGCGGGAACTCCTCGACTACTTTGCTCGGGGCGGCCTTCGCCTTCGCTCTTGCAGCCGCGGCTGCCTCGCTGCTGGAGCCGCTGTCCTCTTCGGAGCCGCTGTCGGAGCCGCTGTTGGAGCCGCTGTCCTCTTCGGAGCCCGCTGCGTCGGCAACTCCGTCGGCGCCGTCGGCGTCGGACCCTACGTCAGCATCGGCGTCCGAGCTGTTGCAGCTGCCACGGCTTGGCAAAGCTGCCCTCGACGAGGCCGCCGAGGCCGCGCGGCTCGACGGGGCCGCTCTCGACGAGGCCGCACGGCTCGAGGATGCCGCTCTCGAAGAAACCGCCGCGGCCGCTGTCGAAGAAACCGTCGAAGGCGCTCTCGAAGAAGCAGGGCTCGGGGAAACCAAAGGAGAGGACGAGGCCGCAGGGCTCGGAGAAACCGAAGGAGGGCTCGGGGAAACCGCAGGAGCGGACGACGACATTACCTTGAGCCAAGTCCTACGGACCACAATGGTGACGATGGTGATGGTAATGGCGATGCTGATGGTATGGATGGTGATGGTGATGGTGATGGTGATGATGATGATGCTGATGATGATGAGGATGATGGTGATGATGATGATGATGATAATGATGATGGTGATGATGATGATGATGGTGGGGACGGTGATGATGGTATGGTGAGGGCGGTTGTGATGGTGATGATGGTGATGGTGATGATGGTGATTCTGGATGTGATGAGCACCGCCATCATCACCATCACCATCGCCACCACCATCAGCACTACGATTTAATAGCCACCATCATTACAATCGTCGTCGGCATCAAAACGCAAAAACACTCAACCAATTCAACCTAAACCCGCCCTAAAGACAGCCAGGAGGAACCCCGAATCCACCAAGGACTGCCCCAAGACGGCCCCGCGAAAAAGGGTCCGAGGGGAAACCCGAATGGAAAATTCGAGCACTTCACCCGAAAACCCGAGAGAGCGCCACAAGGCACCCGAGAGGCCCCCGCGGGGCTCCACGATGCCCCCGAGAGACCAGGGACCCGGAGGTGGCAATTCGACGACGAAAACCACGAAAAACCCGACAAAACGAAGACCCGGTGACAAATTTGTGTTCACGTGGGGCAACAGTCATAGTAAGCAGCGACAGTCCTGCAGCCAACGTGCCCGCGGAACACGACGAGGCACCAGACCCGCGGCCTTGCATCGCCCAGAGTGGACAGTCCCCGAGAGCTTCTCCAAGATCGGAGAAACGGGGCAGCCAGAAGAACGAAAAGGAGGGCGCAGCAGAAAGGACGAGAAACAGGACGCCGTCGACGTCGCCGCCGCCGCGGTCCATCTTTGCCTTCGGGCTTTTCACCCAGGCCCACGACTGCCCCCTTTCGGACGACGCGGGGCCCCTTTCGGAACGCTCCCTGAAAAGGCGCAGCTGCTCGAAGGAGTTTTGCGGGACGACTCCGGCTCCTCCGCGCGACGGCGTTCCCCCCCGCCCCCCCCCGGGTCCGCCGATGCAACTTCTCGCCCCGAGTCCGTCTGGCTTTGAAAGTCCTGGGGCTCAGCAGCGGCACCCGCAGACCGAAACCTATCAAAAACAAACGGTGTTCAAGCGCATATCTCTGGAAAGGCGGCCGGACCTGCCGCGGGCATATACCTCGATCGGGAAGAAGGAGAAGAGGAATAATAAGACGAAGAAAAAGAATAATACGAATAAGAAGAAGAAGAAGAAGAAGAAGAAGAAGAAGAAGAAAAAGAAGAGAAGAACGAGGAGGAGGAAGAGGAGGAAGAGAAACAAAAAGAAAGAATATTCCGTCGTCGCCGCCGATGTCTCGCAGATGTTCGTGGTCTTTCGAACGCCCGAGGCATCTCCTCGAATTCAGCTTCCAGGAGATGTTTCCGGTGCCTGGGACCACCACCGAAGGTCCAGGATGAGGATCGACCTCCCTGGCCGGTGCCACCTCTTCACAAAGGAAGGAACACGTGGTGGATCGAGGCTCGAGGCATGGGGCTCCCAGTTCTTGGACGCTCTCCGCGCCCTCTGAGCCTTCAAGAAGCTCCTCGTCGACACAACTGGGTCCACTCTCGATCTTCTGGCCGGACGCACCCCCAGCTGGGTCTCAGCGATGTCCGAGCCTGTCCATGGGGTGGAAAATGAGGCCTGGGACCTGGGACAGGCCCCGTAAAGGCCCAAAGAAACCCACATAGACCACGAACAACTTCAAAACAATCCCGTACAAGGCCCCCCTTGAACCCCACACGCTACGTACGACAGGCCGAAGCCCCAAGATTGCCCAGCGAACGCGCACGTTCCGCGAACTCCATCTTTCACTCGTGCTGCCGCCCCAAGGGGTCGGCGGTGCGGCGAAAGCCAATGAATCGCTACTCGCAATTGGCCTGGATCCGCCGTGGGGGATTTACGATCTATGACGTCGAGGCAAACGTGTTTTTTATTGTTCTGACGCTTGCGAGTAGCCACCTTGCGAGTAGTGGAACGCGCTCGGTGATGCCTGGCGGAGGGGGGGCGGGCAACAGACGGGGGTGGCGGCGGGGGCGGGGGAACAGACGGGGGGCGGTTAGAGCGCGCCTCCTGGCTGCCGGCGCGGCGCCGGGCGGCGTCGTCGGCCAGCAGCCGCGCGGCGCCCTGGCTGCGCCCAGCGGCCGCCAGGGGAGCCTCCGAGCCCGTGCGGCATCGCCGCCGTCGTCGTCTCGCGGGCGGTCTTCGGCGTCACACTGGGGGGTCATCCCAGGCCCTCTCGCAGCGTGGTAAAGTCAGGACGGAGGGCGTTCTGCTGTTCGCTCGCTATTCGGGGGCGTCCGGGAGGGGGGCGTCAAAGAGGGGGGGCTCGCAAATCATGGCCCGAGGCACGTGCGCGGCCAGGGGGCAGGGGACGCATTAAGAAAAGAGGTTCGCCATGGTACCCCCCCCCCAGTCATCAAGCCCCTCCTGGACGCGCCCGAGCTATGGTCGGCCTCCAGGGGCCCTCTGGAACCCTCGGAAACGTCAAGAAGCAGCTCAGGATGACAGCCAGTCCCCAGGAAGGGCCCCAGGACAAACGAACAAATACACACACAAATAACAAGATGCCCCATCTTTTCCTACATTTTCTGGGTTTCTCTCTTCCCCCTCCACTTCCCGTATTCTCCCATATTTTCGGGGGAATCGAAGACTAAATTGTGTCTGTGTGTTTCTTTTCCTCCTGAAGTCCCCAGGAAGGGCTCCAAATACCCGGGGGCCCACGCCACGCGCACAGTCACGACGTCCTGGGGCTCTCGTCGCCGCGGACGGGCGCGACTCGGGGAGGGAGGCGTCCGGGGACCCGCTCCGGACGGATCCTGCCCGGGGAGGGAGACGACGAGGGCGACGACGACGGCGCCGTCTCCATCCTGGTCGCTGGTGCGTGGGTCCACTCCTCTTCTTCCTCCTCCTCCTCCTCGCCCTCCTCCTCCTCTTCCTCCTCCTCCTCCTCCTCCTCCTCTTCCCTTTCATCCTCCTCTTGAGTCCTTCATCATTGATCCTCTCTCCGCCTCCCTTCCTCCCTCCCCCGTCAGCCTCCCCCAACAGTCTCCTCCCTCCTCCTCCTCCTCCCTCCGCTTTACCCCTCCTCTTTCGTCATCTCTCGTCCCCCCCCTGCCCCCTTTCCTCTCTTGTTCGTCCTTGTCATTGTCTCTCTCCTCTTACCCTTCCCCCCCTTCTCCCACTGGTCCACATCCCCAGATCCCACATGTTTGTTCATGACGTGGACCCCCAGCGGTCTGGACCCAATCCCCGGGACCGGTGTTTCATCCCGACGCTGCGGCCGATGCGGGGGCCCCCCCAAGCCAGGAATCCGAGTTAGGAAAGCGACTCGAAAGGTGAGAAAGCAACTCACAGAGGCTTTGGGCTCTCTTTTTCCTCTCCCCCCCTCGGAGGCACAGCGTTTGCTCTCCCATGCGCACGTGCACGCTTTGCCTGGTGTGCTGTAGCCTCGCCCGTTTACGGGCCAACCCTTGCGACCCGGCCTCTGTCTGTCTGTCTGTCTGTCTCTGATTGTCTGTCTCTGTCTGTCTGTCTGCCTGCCTGTCTGTCTGTCTGTCTGTCTGTCTGTCGTGGCACCCGATAGCGCCCAATCACGCGCAAATCAGACAGTACGAATCTCCATCACACGGTGCTTTTGGGCGCTGTTGGCCGCCGTTGGGAGCCATTTGAGCGCTATTCAGGCCTAAATGGGCGCTGTTGGGTACTACTTGGCACTATTGTGGGCGCTGTCGGGCGCTACTCGCCGAGATGCATTCGATCCAAAACAAAGGGAGACTTCGTGATTTACAATCTACGGAGAGGGTGGGCGAATCGGGTGCCCGCGCTCGTTAAGACAGAGCGCCACGTGCTATCCACACGGCTCGGCAAGCCAGCTGCTGCAGCCAGGGAGGCACCGTGGAGCCCGCTGCAGGACGCAGGAGGCACGGTGCCGTGAGGGAGCGGCGGCTGCAGGACGCAGGAGGCACGGGCGGACGTGGCGCCAGTCTGGCAGTTCACCGAGGTGCGCACTGAGACGGATCCCATACTTTCTCATCGCAGGGAAGCGAAGCGAACGCTGGAGTCGTGCGCGCTCCTCTGAGGAGCCGCCCGTGCCCGTCAGGGTGGGCGTGGAGGTCGTGGCCTCGGACATGTGACACGATGGCGGCTTCCACCAGTCAGTGCTCCCCGCAGCTGCGAACCATCACAAGCCGTTCGTGCGCTTGTGCTCGTGTCGTCGTGGTTCAGCCGCTGTGCGAGGCGGATGAAGCGGTGAGGTCGCGCCCGAGCTCGACGACTCCGGCCACTGCCCAGGACCAGGGTGCGATGTTGGCGAAGCCCAGCCCGAGCCTGACGACCTGGGGGCCAACAGCTGAGACGAGGGCACAGTCAGCACACGGCCATGATCAATGATACTGTTCGCTTCGCCCGCCGATCGAGCCTCATTAACGGCCGGCCTCGTGTGTGGGCTGTGGGCAGTCCCTTCTTCAAGCTTCCTCTTGCATCTCTCGCTCTCCCTACCTGCTGCTGCTGCTCCTCCTCCTCCACTGGCTGACGCCGGGGAGAGCTCAGGAGGCGGCCTCGTAGAACCACGGCAAACCAGATTGTAAAGAAATGGCCAGGCCACCGTTTCGCTGGTTCACCACATCATATCCTCTCACTCTCTGGTGCAACACGTTCAGTGACAATACCTGGTTGCTCCCGCTTGGACAGTTGTTGGGAAGCCCCCCGGCAATGCCAGAATTTACGTTTTGGAAGCATGGATTTTCAGGAGGAGGTTCGCGCTACATTTCGATGGCCGCGCCTGTGCAAACGAGCCCCGCGCGCGAGCCCGAGCCCGAAATCGGACGCCGATGCGACGCAACGCGAGCACCGACCCACTACGACAATCGAATTTCACGCAGCGGCGATACTATAAATTTAGGCTCGCAGAAAACAACACCGAAAACAATTTTTCATCGCTTTAACGCTGCGCCTGCCCGCCCGCGCTTCAACTGCGCCCAATGCGGCCACCGCTCGAGACACCCTCGCAATTTGGTCGTCGGCACCGTCGCCGCGCTCGAAAATGAGCGCGAAAACACGATGATCGAGCAAGAAAAAAGCGAAGCGCTGCGCGGATGTCTGGGGGGGCATCGCCCAAGCGCGAGAAGGGGGCAAACGTTCCTGTCTTATGAAATTCGCGTGCGTGGGGGGCAGAACGAAGGGATGGGCAAAGTGCCGAATCATGGGGTGACAGAAGAAAAAAAAACAAGACTGAGGGGAAGTAGGACGGAAAGGAGGGGAACGGAAGCGAGAGAGGAAGCAAGGACGCAATGGGGGGATGGTCAAGGGCACGGGAGGGAAAACAAGGAATCGGAAACGCGAGGGCGGGAGGTGGAAGAGGCAGGAAGGAAGGGGACACAGGAGCGACGGGGGAGAGCAGAGAGAGAACATAACAAACGACATAAAACAACGCGATATACATTTATACACATACACTAATGCATATATACTCATATATATGTACGTTTATACCGCGGGGAGAAGGAGAGAGAGAGAGAGAGAGAGAGAGAGAGAAAGAAAGAAAGAGAAAGAGACAGAGAGAAACAAAAAAAAACTAGCATGGAAAGGGAAATAAGGAGAATAAAGAAAGTAAGAAAGACAACGAGCCATAACTCGTTTATATGTCTCATTCCTTGCTTCGAAAAAGAGAGGGGATATATAACAGAGAAGTATAACATATCTATATAGAAATAATGCATACAGTTAAAAAGAGAGGAAAGAGAGAGGGAATAAAGAAAGAGAGAGAGAAAACAAAAAAGAAGAGAGAGACGAAAGAGAGAGAGAGAGAGACGAGAAGAGACAACACAACGAACAAACAAACAAACAAACAAACAAAAACAGAGACAGAGCGCCCAACCCCGCCTTTCTGAGGCGCCCCCGCGCGCCACCAGACCATCCATCCTCCCTCTGTCTGCCCAACACTCATGGGCTGGCAATCATGCGGTCGAGGACGCGCTGCAGCATCCGGGGGAGCGGAACCATGCCCTCCTGCCAGAAGGGGGGCGGGGGGGTGGGGGCCGGGGGGGGGGCCAGCGCCGCCAGTGAACCGCCGCCATCGCCATCGCCGCCGTCGACGTCGTTGCCAGCGCCATTGTCGTCGTCGCCGCCATCGCCATCGCCGGCGTGGTCGTCGTCGTCACAGTGCGCCACCATCATCCTCATCCTCTTCATCATAACCCTCACCCTCAGCATCGCAGACATCATCGCCATCGTCATCGTCATCGTGACCATCATCATCGCTATCATCATCATCATCATCATCATCATGATCAGCACCAGCATCATCATCAGCACCCCCACCATCATCCTCATCACCATCATCACCATCGCCATCGTCATCGTCGTACTCGTCGCCATCACCGTCGCCAACGTAGTCGACACAATCATCGCTTCCCCACGCCTCACCCTCCTTCTCCTGCTCAATCGTCCTCGCCCTTCTCCCATCTCCCGCTCTTCCTCCCCGATGTCCCTCCTCCTCCTCCTCCTCCTCCTCCTCCTCCTCCTCCTCCTCCTCCTCCTCGCATTCATCCTGTCGCCTCTGCCCCCCCTCCCCCGCGGCCCCGACTGGCTCCTTGTCGCCAAACCCTTTCTTGGCGAGGTAGTTGACCAACTCGTGGCCCTTCTGCTTCACACTGAGGCCCTTGGGGTCGGCCTGGTACGCCATCAACTCCTGGGCGCGGCGCCGGCAGACCGCGGGGCAGAGCGGCGACCAGCGACGGGGGGCAGGGGAGGGCGAGGGGCAGCAGGGGGGCGTGGGCGAGGGGGCGGGGAAGGCGAAGCAGGAGCAGCAGCGACGGCAGGAGCGGGGGGCAGAGGCGGAAGGAGGAGGAGGAGGAGGAGGAGGAGGAGGAAGGAGAAGAACAAGGGCCAAGGGGGGGAGGAGAGGGCGAGGAGGGCGAAGGATCGGAAGGGAGGGAGATACGAAGGCTAGGATGGGGAGGAGAAGCGCAAAGGCGACAAACAACGAGCCGACGGGCGAAGAGAAGGGGGAGGGCGGGGTGGGAGGAGGAGGAGTGGGAGGAGGAGGAGGAGGAGGAGGGGGAGGAGGGGGAGGCGGAGGAGGAGGAGGAGGGCAGGAGGAGGGGGAGGAGGAGGGGGGAGGAGAAGAAGGGGGTGGAAGGGCAGGGGGCGAAAAGGCGGGGGAGCGGGCGAGGAGGGTGAGCAGGGTGAGACAGAGGGGGGAAGGGGCCAGGGCAGGGGGGAGTGATTTCTCACGAATCCCCTAATCCCATGATCCATGCCATGCCCTATAGCCCTAGAGCCTATATAGCCTATCCTATCCCCACATCCCCGACCCTGTGCCCCTCATGCTGCTCCTACGCTCGCATGCCCTACTGCCCCCTACCCCCCTATCCCCTTGCATCCGCTCCTCCTCGCCCTCATGCCGCATGCCGCATCGCCGCCCTCGACCCTCGGGCATCCTTGAGGCCCCACTGCATCGCCATGCACATCTTGCCGTGCTTCCGGGCGGCGGCCAAGGAGATCCTGCCTGGGCGGCATGTGGGGCTGGGCGGCAGCAAACGGCCATGGGCCATGGGCCAATGGGCCATGGGCCAATGGGCCATGGGTTAGCGCCCTGGCGGGGCCTCCGGAGGCCCAGGCTCGCGAAAGCCCGCCGTCGCAATCCACGTCGCCGGAGGCCCGCCAGTGACAAGGCCGTCAGCTCGCGCTCGGAGCCGCCCAGGCTGGCGGCCCCAGAGGCAAGCACGGAGGGCCCTCACTGCCGAGCCCGCGGCGGCAGGAGGCGGGGCCGGCAGCTCGAGGCCGCTCGCGCGCCGCCCAGCCGAGGCGCGCGAGGGGGGCGGAGTGCCAGCACGCGGGCGATTCCAGAAACCCTGAACCCAACAATCGGGCGAACAGGAAGGCGGGGCGGCGCTGACCAGAGGAGTTGAGCAAGTCCCTCCGCCTGACAGCTTCTTGCCCTTCGGGTACACGGAGTCCACGATCCGCAGGGAGCCGAGCATCGCGCTGGACGCCGCGACCAGCTTCTCCTCGTTGACTTTCTGGTTCATCACCGCAGGGGCGTTGCCCCGAGAAGGCGTGGGCCGAACTGATTCGCCCGGCCATCGACGACGACCAGACAGCCGACAACAGGGGCTGGAGGGCGCCCCCTTGGCGGCTAGCCAGGGCGCAGGGAAGATAGAAGATAGCAAGATCGGCAAACATATTGACATCAGAAGGGCCCTCGGCGAGGGAAGAACGGAGAGCGAGCGGAAGACATAGAAGATATCAAGATCGGTAAACATAACATCGGCCCGCGGAGAGAACGACGGGCGACGCCCGCGACGAAGCGGGAGCAATCAGACGAAAAGGGCATGCATGGCAAACGTACTTCCGACCACGGCTTTGAGCGCCGCGGGAGCTCAGGTCTGAACACGGGCAACTGACGTGGGAATCTGACGGCTTCGCCTGCTGAGATCCCTGAAGCCTGAAGCCCGATGGCCGCCCGATCGCCCGATCCGACGCCGTCGAGAGCAACTGCCAGCGGCGGCCAAGGGGGCCCGGTGGGAATGCCGACAGGCCAATACTGCAAGAACGACTCCTGGAGCTCGCCGTCGCCGTGGATCCGGGGGTTGTTCAAGAGGCTGCTCGGCGGGGCAAGCTTCATGATCCTGGTGGCGAGCGCCTGGGCTTGCGCCTCGACGTGCTCGCTGAATGACTCCGCGATCTGCGCCAAGGAGGCGCCGGCCGTCGTGCTGGCAGCGTGGATGTCGATGCGGGCGTCCCACCCCTCGGACGCAGCCGCGCTCCCTGTCGCGGTGGAGATCCACGCCAAGTAGTTGTCAAGGTTCTCCTTGAAAGCCAAGTAGGATTTCATCGTGGCATCGTCGATCTTGATCTCCAAGACGCCGCCCATGGGCGACCGACTCAAAATGTCAGCAACCGCCAGCAGGCATTGGTGGTGTCTCCTCAGAAACTGGAGTCGATGAGCCTCATGGCCACCCAAGCTGAGGTCCTGCGTCGCCGCGAGAGCGGCGTCGATCGTGTCCTTCTTCGCCAGGTAGCCATCCAGTGCAACGCGAAGGCGATCGCTGCCCTTGGCCTTCGCCTGGTTCACGAAATCGACAACCACGGGCCGCCCCAGGCTGTGCGCCTCGACCAGATCTGTCATCGAATTGCCAAACTGAGAAAGCAAGGAAGCGCAACACTTGCTTGCGATCTTATCCTTCACCCACTTGCGAAAAGTAAGTACGGATCGGGCTCTAGGGCAAACGTTGTCATCATCATCATCACCGTTCGCTGGCAACCTCGTCGGAAGAAGTGCCTCAAAGACCTCGTCGTACTTGTCGCACAGAGACCCCAAGGACTGCAACTTAGCCTGTCGATCTTCAGACGCCCCCCCGGCTAACACATAATCAATCGTACCTTCTCTGCACTGGGCGTGCCAGCCCTGTGCCCAGGCGGCGCAATTCTCCAATGCCAGATACCAGTCCTTCTCGTCCCCGTCATTGCCCACCGCGCCGCGGAGCTTCTGCAGGCTGCCGACGAAGTCCTGAGAAGCGCGGCGCGAGAGGGCAGGGGGGGCAGGGCAGGGAGGGCGGCGAAAGGAGGGACAGGAGGAGCAGCGAAGGAAGCAAAGAGAGGAAGACAGCGAGGGAAGATCAAGAGAGCAAGAGGAGCACAGCAGGGAGGAATGCAGCAAGAAAAGCAGCGCAGAGAGGAAGGCAGCGAAAGAAGCTAAGGGCGAGAAGGAGAAGCGGGATGCGAAAATAACACGAGTGCCAAGGGAACTGGGAGGAGAGGGCGGGGCGCAGGAGAAATGCGAGAGACGGGGCAACAATGATGCCAGAGTCGAGGGCCCAGGGCCGATGGCCAGCAGTGGAGGCGAGGAGGCGAATGGGTCTGGGGGAAGAGCGGGAAATAAAGAGAAGAATAAGAAATTAAATATTTGCTAAGTGGACTGGAGCGGAAGGTAAGTAGACTACTCTTTAAGTAGAAGAGGCGCGAGCTGCGGGGCGAGGGCGGAGACCCCCCCCCTCTCGACGCCCCAGCTGCGGTCCTCCAACGCACGGGGCAGCTCGGGAGTGAGCAGCTTCGTCGCATCCCAAGCGCCCCCGGAGTCGATGTAGCGGACCATCTCCTGCACGAAGACGTCGGCGATGCACCCGAGCGTGTGCGCGGAGGCAGTGCGCACGGAGTCCACGTACTTCTCGGCGGCGTCCCCCATGAACTCCTTGAGCTGGGGCAGCAGGTCGCTCCCCTTCAGGAACTCATACACCTCGGCAGTAAATATCTTTACCTGCTCGCTAAACTGCAAGGATTCGTGGGGGAACTGGCTCAAGTTGCAGATGCGGCGCTCTACGTCGTCCATCCATTGCTTGAGATTCTTGAACTCACCGAGGCGCTCGTCTGCCAATGCTAACAGAGGTGTCCCGTACTTGGGGAACTTGGCCAGGAAAGTTGGGAGATGCTTCTGGCTATCAGCCGAATGGTTGACGAGGGCGCGAGCATCGGCCAAATGCTTGTGGGTGCTCTGGTCCAGGGACGCTGCAGGCAAGTCTATGAGGACGTGCAAGTAGGCGATCTCGCTCGCGAGGGTCGCCGAGAACTCCTGCCCCTGGGACGACACCAAGTTGGCGAACTTGCCCAGCGCCGCGCCCATGCCGCTCTTGATAATGGCGAAGGGCGCATTCGTGCACAACGCGGCCGCGACCCACTGCTGGAACAAACTGCTCTGCTCATCTTCTAGAACAAACCCATCTGGCGCGTCAAGTTTGCCATCGGAAACACCAAACATTGCCTCGGCACTGGAACGGGACACGCACTGCACGAACTCGGCGGGCTCATGGAACGGGTTGGACGCCTCAGCGGGGCGCGGACAACACAAAGCAGCAAAGAAACGACGGCGGCGCCGCCGAGTGGCCGCCCTTCGCCTACGCGCTGGACCCACGACCCCACGATCCTGCGATGCCCGACCCCCCTGCCGTCCACTCAAGGATCAAGCGATCGAGAGATCGCGCGATCCTTAACTTGACCGTTGACTCGATGATCCTCCTCGCGCGGTGAGGGGTCGAGTGATCTAGGCATCGAGGGTCGAGGGTCGGGCGCGCGGCGTTCGTGACCCGAGGATTGACTGGGGCCCGGGAGCGGGGAGAACAGGATCCGAGGCCCAGGGATGCGACGGAGCGACGGAGGGTGACAGAGGGCGGGCCAGGGCGAAAAGCAAGGGGAGGGGAGAAACGAGGAAGGGGGGGCGACTAAAGGATTGGCCCCCGCTGCCTTCAACGAGCCTCTGGTGCGCCACAAGTACTGCGACTGCACTCTGTGGGACGGCTCCGCGGCCGCGAAAGACATCATGCGCCCGTACTGGAATTCGAAATCCGTCGCGTGAGACCCTGGCCCCGAGCGGGCCCGCCACGCTCTCGCCAATTTGATCCCCATCTCCATGATCTGGAACTTCTTCCCGGCGAGCTCGAACACCTTCTTCTTGCTCTCGTCGGCCGAACTCTCGGCCTTATTCTTCGCGACGCCGGCGTGCCTCACGATCAGCTTGAGTTTGGTGTTCCTCTGCTCGCCGAAAAAATGCGAAAGCTCATCTGCACCCATCCACTCCGACCACTGATCCTCGCACACCTGATTGGGGTCTTTAGCTTTCGGCCCCCTCCTCCCAAGGTCTGCCTTGTCTCCCTCGTCGGAATCACCTGCCTCGTCGGCCTTGCCCTCGCCCATCCCCCTGGACTTGTCGGCCTTGCTGCCGCCGTGGACGCGGGGCCCATCCTTCTTCGCCTTCACTGCCTTAGCCTTGATGGTTGAGGCGGCCCTGCTGCTGGCGGCCTTGCCGCCCTGCCTCTGGCCCAGCCCGCCCTCGGACCCGTCGCTGTCCTCGCTCATGGCCTCCCTGGCGAAGAAGCTCCTGACTTTAGCCTTCTTCTCCGAGCCCTTCTCCTTGAGCTTGCGCCGCTTGCGCGCCGCCGCTGCCTTCTTCGAGCGATCCTCCTCCTTGGCGCGCTCGTCCTCGTCGAGCTCGCACTTCTTCAGAATGTCTAGCATCGCCCCCCGGCACACGCTCCTATATGCCTCATCATCCTTCTTTGCGATGTCCTCGAATACTTTCTGGGCGACGGAGCTGTCCGAATCGCTGCCGATGTCTTGGCTCTCGTCGTGCTCGAGTCGGGAGCCGACTGTGTTCTTGATTCTCCACGGTTCGTCTGTATCCCCGGCAGGCACTGCGACTCCCTTCACTCCCTCCATGATGCATTTCTTGTGGCCCAATTGCTTGTTCTTCGGTGCATTGGGGTCGCCGAACTGGCGCCGGTAAGACAGAATGGGGTAGAATAGGTCGTCGGGCCTCTGCAGCGCTCGCTCCTTGTAACGCTGCTTCCTCACGCGATGCTTCCTCGCGCCTGCGCTAGCGGAGGCTACGTGCAGTTAGGGGGCAGCGCAGTGGTGCGAATGCCAATGCATTATTATCATCGCGCCACTGCGCAGCCTGGGAAGGGGTTAGGCGGCTGCACGGTGGCGCGCATGTCATAACAATTCGCACCACTGCGCAGCCTGGGAGGGGCCTCATGGGCCCTGCATGGCCCATGGACCCTGCCCCCTGCAAAGACCCCCGCAAAGACCCTTGCTGAGACCCTGAGGGGACACCCGAAGGCTTCAAGAAAGCCCGAGGCTTCACTGAGGAACCTGGGGGCCCTCCAGGGTCCTGGCGGCCCTTCCAGGGACCCCCCCGGGCCCCGGGGCTCCTGGGACGCTTCAGAGGAGCCCCCAGGGGGCCCCAAGAGCGGCCAAAAAGGAATACCCCAGAGATCCACGGGCGCCCCCCCCCCCATCCCACTGGAAGCCCCGAGAGAGCAGGGGCCTCGAGAACGGGCCAGGAAGGCATCTTCGCTGGATGGGCTGGCTGGGACACGCGAAGCATCGAGCTCGGTAGCTCGGTGGGCAGCCGGGGCGAAGCTAGATGCGATGCCCGGCCCCCCAGGCCAACCAACCCCTTTTCAATGGCGCGCCTGCTTGCTTAGTGGAGCGGGGGCCCCGCTTTCTCGCCTTTTCCATCACGCCGTCCCGCTCGGAATTGAACGCCCCCAGAATTGCAGCATCCTTGCCCATGGCAGCGACGTGCTTGTCCCTTTTCCCGTGGTCAGTTGCGTGGCTAATCTTCGTCCTCCAGGTCTTTGCGCACCAGAAACACGATGAGCCCTCGGGCGAAGTGGGGACGGTAATATCGTCTGTATCATATTCCCATTTGATAGAGGGGCGGGCGGCATTGACGGGATCCGGCGACGCGCCCCACACCGACCCGCAGAGGAACATGCACGTCTTGTCTTCTCCTGCACGAGCCACCTCGGGCGGAAAGAGGGGCGGCGGCGACGGGCGGGCGGAGATGGGCGGGGGTCAGGGGTCCAGGAAATGGCCGCATCACCGTTCGTAGACTCGGGCCGGGCGAAAGGGGGGGATTGGGAAAGGGGGGGTTGCGAAATTTGCTGCATGCAGCTGGTTTCGGCCTCACCGAGGGGCCCATTCCTCGATACATAGCCGCCTCCGGCGCCGGGAGGCGCCGGGAAAATCAGCTACGCGAGCTGATTCTCAACCCCCCCTTTGCTATCCCCCCCTTTCGCCCGACCCGAGACTCGCCCTGGGACGGGCGCCGCGCCTGCGTTTGACATCGTTCCCGGGCGCCCCGTAGCGTTGGGTCCTCGTTTTTTTGAATGCGCAGCGCCCGCGCCCTCTCCCCCCCCCCCCACCATCTCCCCATGATGCAGAAGAGAAAAACAAAAAAAAAAAACCTAACCGAAACCTCGGACTGCGCCATTGGCCATGGGCCATGGGCCATTGGTGCGCCCCCGCTGCGCCATGTTACGCATGCTACAGATGGCGCAGGCTGCCCCGTGCCATGCTGCTGCGCTATCCACGGCCCCCCCGCCCCCAGACAGCTCAACTCGCGGGCGTCGTCTCTGGATGAGCTGGCGGGGGGGGGGGGCGCCGAGCGTCGAGAACATCAACAGACAAACAGCCTTCTGCGCAATCCCAGGCGGGCCTTCGGCTTCCGCTCCTCGGAAGGCACCCCCTGGTCACATGGGAACTCTTCTTTTCCTGGGGCGTCATCGTCACGACCGCACTTTCTCTCTTTCTGTTGTGCTGTGCTCCTCTCCTCTCCTCCAGCGCCGCCTTTGCCTCTGCGGCCTCCCTCCTCGCCCTGATCGCCTGAATCTCTTCTCTGCTTCCTGTGGGCTCGTGTCTCCTCTGCATCTGCGCTCTCCACGCTGCGGCCCTCCTCTCTCTGGCTCTTCTCAGGTCGCCCTTTGCGAACTGTATCCTTGCCTTCTTTGCCGGCCTTCTCCTCCTTCCTCTGTTTGCCTCTCTTATCCTTGTCCTTCTCCTTCTTCTCCTTATCTCTATCCTTGTCTTTCTTTTTGAGCTTGACCTTGGCGGGCTTCTTGGAGGCCATCGCTGGGCCCGTCCTCCTAGCTGCGAACAAAATCAAAAGGGCACGACGCCCGAGTCACCGCTTGACTCTGTCGTGGCTGCGTTAGGGGGAGCACCCATCAAACTTGGCGAGAAGGCAGTGGGGGCCAGGGGTCCAGGCGCCCGCGGGCTCGCGGCGAGGTGACAGGACGACGCGGGGGCAGGGGGCGGGGGGCCTCGTAGGAGCGATCGGGGAGCCACGCTCGAGGGCAAGAGGACTGGGGGAGCAGGACCAAGGAGACTAAGGGGCGGAGCAGGAGTGGAGCAGGAGGTAGAGGAGTAGCATGAGGAGCAGGAGTAAGCGGGCGAGGGAATGGGGGAGCACGAGTAAGAAGGAGGAAGCAGGCGAAGGAGCGGAAGAACAGGATCTAGGAGGCAGGGTTGCAGACACTCCTGTTCGCAATCTGCGGACTCTCGCTGCTTGTTCAATGGATCTCCGACCCGCGCGTCTCGCACTGCCTGCTGCTTGCAGTGTCTGCTGGGCAATCCCTCTGCGACCGCTTGAGATGCTGCAATCTCCCCCTCCTTGTGTTATCCTTGCCTCCTCCTCCTCCTCCTCCTCCTCCTCCTCCCCCTCTCCTTCTCCTGAGATGCATTCCGTCTTGCCTGTTCTTTCTCCTCGTCCTCCTCCTCCGCTTGCCCCCCCGATCCTCCTGCAGCTTCAAATTAGCGGTCGCTAGACATCAAAACAACTGATCTGAATCAGGTGCCATCACATAAGCTCATCGGACTCAGGAACCAACACCCCCTTGATGCCATTGAATTCTGTCTTAACGTGGCCAGCCGACTCCATCGACTCCTCACCATTGCCAAAAGTCTCCCTGTAAATCTTGAGAGGGTAGAATAACTGGCCACCTGTCGGGACGACCTCTTCTGGGTCGCCGTCATCGTCGGGATCATCCTCGCCATCGCCGCTGGAGACTACTTCTTCCAAGCTATCGCTCTCATCGGTCGAGGCGCCCTCGCTCGACGAACTGACGCTAATCTCCCCGGGCGCCTCGATTCGCGCCTGGGTGACAAGGATAATGGCGCTGGCGAGGGGAACGGCGGCGACCATCGAAAGAAGCAAAGGAAGGAGCACCGCGGCGCAAAAAGCATTCCCTGCTAGATTGACCTTGTCCCCCTGAGAGAACTCCTTGGGCGGCTGCAGCGGGCGCCTGGCCTGGACCTCGTGCGAGAAGCCCTGCAAGGCCAAGCACTCGTCGCCAGAGCCGCTGGCCACCGACGGCCCCGGGCGCGCTGGGGCCATTACAGCCGACCGCCGATCGCGTGGCCGAGGAGAAAGTGCAGGGGGGAGTCAAAGGGCAAGTTAAGATAGACGTAGAGGGAAGAGAAAGACAGGGAGGGAGAGAGAAGAGGGAGAGAGAGGGAAAGAGAGAGAGAGAGAGAGAGAGAGAGAGAGCGGGCGGAAAGAGAGTGCGAGAGAGACAGAGAGACATATACGTATGGCATGTCACAGCGGTATGTGGTAATGTGCGGATGTATGTGTGTATATATATAGATATATACCAATATAAATACACACAAATACTTACACCTATCTAGATAAATGCATGCCAAACTTATCAAGGCCGACGAACACTTGATATGTCTTGGCATTACGGTCACGGATTCGACGATGCAGCTGCCCCATGCTCTCACTCCCATGCCTTATCCCATGCCGATGCCATATGCCCCTCACTCCACATGCCTCTCCTGCGGCAATGTCTACCACGCCCCTTTTCCCCTTCTAAACTCACGCTCCCTTCCTCCTTGTTTTGCCCCTCCCTCCATGTCCCTCTCCTCTGCCCAGTCGACCCCTTCCCCCTCCCCCACTGCCTCCGCCGCCGCCTCCTCCCCCCACTCCCCCATCCATCCGGGGGTCCATCCGGCTTCTGGGCGAGGCGGCGGAGCTGCGAAGCCTGCATCATAGCAATCTGTCGTACACGACTCCGTCCACCTGGCGCGGCCGCGACCCGCCCCCCCCGATCTTTAAACTCCTCGATCTACCACTCCCTCCGCCAGCCTCCTCTGCCACTGCCCACCCCCCTCCTCTCTGCCCCCCCTCCTCCCGCCGAGCCCCCACTGCCCCCTCCTGCCTCCAACCTTGCGTCTGGATCGTTGCGATGGCTCACTGCGTAGCGACTAATGCTACTCACGCTGCTCGAGCGACCCCGCGGCTGCCTACATCTATCCAAGGCCCCTCCCCCAGAAACCCCGACGCATCTCCATCCGCTGCCCGGATCATGCCATTGACTCATTGCCCCACTCACCCTCGAAGCGCGCTCTGAGAGGTCAGCAGACAAAGAACAGAGCACCTTGCCGCGAATCCACATGCGCGAGGTGCTGACGACGGTGGGGGTCTTGTTCTCGCGGATGCGGGTCCACTCTGCGCTCATGTTCAAATCCGCGATCTCCACGCCGCCAAGCTGGTTGGCCGGGCCCTCGGTCGACTCCCAGAACCATAAGAGCTGCGCCTCCCGCTCGGAGAGGCACAACGTCTTCGCCCGAAACGCCTCGTCAAACTCCGGGGGGAACGGAACCTTGCGGCTGTTGTAGTGCTCCATGTGGTCGACGAGATAGTTCGGCTCCTTGACTGCTTTCTGCTCGCCGTCGGCCTTCGACTTGGCCTTGGCCTTCGGCTTCTCCTTCGTGGGCTTGCTCTTGTTAGCCTGCATGACGGCCTCGTGATCGCTGGGCAGGAGGAACATCGACAAGGGCGCGCCTTCCACCGGCAAGGGCGGGATGCCGAGGAGAAGGGGGGGCGGGGCGAGGGCGGACAAGGAGGGCGGCGAGGGGGAGGGGGACAGCGAGAGAAGACGAGAGGGCGCGGAGATGGGGGCGCGGGCGAGGGGGCAGAAGTTGAGCACAATGAATCCATGATCGCCGACCTCTGGCAGGCGTTGAGAGGCTGGCGGCAACGGGGACAGGAAGGACGACCAGTGCTATGGCCATAGCC